GTTGTCCGTCCCCCAGGGAGGAGGTCACATATAGTTCCTTATAATTGGTTCCCTCTTTCCAACCCACTCTCCCTCTACCCTCCCAGTCTCGCCACTCATACCACTGGTCATTATTATATTTTTAATTTGACTTCTTAAGCTGCCTATTGAAATTTTCTGTTCAGCTAATTTACTTCATAATTGAAGAGCAAGTTTTGGCATCTCTTTTGACATCCTCTTTGGTCTTTTCTTCCTTTCCTATATTTTTAATGACCTCTTGCTTTCATCATATATACTGTTGTGGCTGTCATCCCACAGTTCATCAGGTCTTCTGTCACTAGTGTTTAATGTGTTAAAGCTGTCTTGAGATGATCTCTAAATTGTGGTGGAATGTACTCAAGGTTATATTTTGGCTTTCGTGGACTCATGTTAATTTTCTTCATCTTCAACCTGAACTTCTAGATGAGCAATTGAGGATCTGTTTCACAGGCAACCCCTGGCCATGTTTTGGCTAATGATATTGAGCTTCTCCATCATCTTTTCTTACAGATGTAGCTGATTTGACTTCCTGTGTATTTCATCCAATGAGGCCCATCTGTAGGGTTATCATTTATATTGTTGAAAATAAGTATTTGCAACAAGACAATCATTGATCTTGCAAAATGCTATCATGCAATCTTCGGCTTTGTTTCTATAACCGAGCCATCTCTCCTTCCTTGGCATCTTTCTCCCCCAATCTCTGCCTCTTCGGTTGCTTGCTAAATCTCTTTTATATCTAGAGACAGATTTGACATACCCTATCTAATCCTGTCCCATTAGCATTACAAAGGCAACCCCTTCATTCCCACATAGGACTGTAGTCACAGGCATAGAGGTTAAGGTTTGTGACACATCTTTTGGGGGCACACAACTGAATCCATAATAGAAGGGTTACAGCCACTTTGGGGGTAAAGACACGAGACCAAATGAGCCGCAAAGCCAGAATTCAACTTCAGACAGTCAGATTCCAAGTCTGTGCTGACAGCTGATTGTGCTTGTCTATAGCTGGCTATTAAATAATATTCCTCATGGCCCATCTTCACAGAGACTGGGGGCAGCAGAGCTTTGAGCTCACAGAGGAGTGGCTTATGCAGACCTCAGCCCAGAGAAGTCCATTGATAATGATCAATTCTCAGATTTCCACCTAGCAGATCTAAACCATGGTGTGCTACATAAGAGCCAGCTCTGGGAACTTGGGTAAGTTCCCGAATCGGTCAGTTTTCTCCTTTGTATTAATTCCTAGTCCATCTGCTTCTCAGAATTTGGGGAGAGTCAGATGAAAGGATGGCAGTAGGAGTTGTAAAACACAAGTACGAGATTGATGTACAGACTTATTATTATCTGGAATAGATAGTTCATACTGGCCATCCCCTGCTGATCTGGCCTAGTGCAGTCCATGAAAGGTATGTTCGCTTTCTGGATATCATGGCAAACCGTGTTATGAAGATGATAAAACCTGTCCGCTTCCCAACCCAGAAGGATGATTCTGGGATTACCCACATTCTTGCTGCCTTTCTTATGTCAACAGAAATGTCTTGGAAACCACCTCCTACTGGCCTTCATCTGCCTGCATCTAACCTCTTTCCCCATCTACCCCGTTCAGAAAGAAGCAGCAGATTCTTCCCAGTCACTCCGGCTCCCTCTCTGGGGAGGAACAGCAGAGGCAGGAAGGCTGCCCTCGCTGCTTTGTATCTGCAATACAAGTGCCTTCTTCCTTTAGAACAGACTTGAAACGTCAAACCTGACCATCTTTTAATCCTTTTGAAATACATTTGTTTCAGTTCTGTAGCCCCCACCCCCGACTCTGTGCATGTAAGTCATAGTGTGAAAGAACATAAATCATCCTTGAAGAAATGTGAGCCTTCCCACTAACTTCTCACTCCTCACCAACTCTCGGGGAACCTCCCAGGAGCTTCTAGTGGATTGGGTATCCTAAAGTTTCAAGAGGGCTACTCGGGACATGTCCATAGCACCCCACTCGGGGCCACTGCCAGAGGAGGGTGGTTTGGGATAAGGCCATTGGAGCGGGCACTGAATGTCGCCAGGCTCTTGAGTCACTTACCTCGACTTCCTTCTCGGTGAGCGGCGGGGCACTGTGGGAAAGAGAAAACACGCGGTGACTTTGAGTCCGTCAGTGAAATACCCACAAGATGGCTTTGAAGGGCCAGCAGACCTCTGATTTCCAAGAGCAGAGGAAGCCGAGTTGCTGAGATGGAGACCGCGTAGAGCACCCTTGGTATCTGCTCTATAATCAGTGAAATATCTGTCCCAATGGTGGCTTTTTTTTTTCTTTTATTAAATACTTTTCCTGGGGGCTCTTACATCTCTTATCACAATCCATACATTCCTCCAGTGTGTCAAGCACATTTTCACATAGACTGCCATCATCCGTTTCAAAGCATTCTCTTCCCACTTGAGCCCTTGATATCAGCTCCCCATTTCTTCCCCCCCCCTCCCTTGCCCTCCCTCCCTCATGAACCCTTGATAAGTTATAGATTATTGTTTTCATATCTGACATCACCCTCCGTCGCCCCTCATCCACTTTTCCATTGTTCATACCCCTGGGAGGGGAGGGGAGGGGTTTCTAGGTTGATCCTTGTGATCGATTCCCCTTCCCCCACCCTCCCCTCATCCTCCTGGTATCTCTACTCTCATTCCCATCGGTGACTCTTACAGCCGAAATGTGATCGGAAATGCTCAGTCCTGGGGTGAGACCTCCAGCAGCATCACTCCGAACTCTGTGGCTTCTGACAAGTGGTTCCAAGATAGGGCGCCTTCGGGGCGGTATGGCTGTAGACGTTTGACAAGTTTTTCATCTTTCTAAGTCCCACTATGCCTATATATATCTAATGCAATAGTCATATCTACTTTGCAGGTGTCTCAAAAGACTTATATGTAAGTCGCATGCATAAAAGGCTCATCAAACAGTGGAACTAAAAGATAACAGAATTTTTCCATGGACTTTCTGAAGCCCCTGGTATGTGTATGTACGTGTGTTTAATGCCCACTCTCAGCAGGTACTCCAGAAATGCCAGCTCTCATTACAGTGAACTCAGAATGATTTTTCAGGAGGCCCTTCCTCCCCTCCAAATGGATGTAGGAAGTCCTTTATGAGCTAGTCATCTGAGTTGGCATGAGGCTCTTTCTGGGGCTCCTTAGGTCCGTAAAGCTGTGACCTTTGGCCTTCCCTCTCAGGTGATGGCGAGGGTGCCTGTGGGCCAGAGGATGAAAGGTGAGAAAGGACGGCCGAGCTCCTACTCCTGGGAAGGCCCTCCCACGGCTGGAGTCAGCGGGTGAGCAGGAGAGGCCTTGCTGGTGGAGGAGTGTCATTCTGAGAGGCTCCTCATCAGGGTTCCCACGGCCCAGGTTTCCCCATCCATACGCGGTCCTTTCCTGGGCACACCTGCTCTGGGTTGGCTGTTGTTGGGCTCTTGCTGGTAACTCACCCGGGCAATGTAAACAATGTACAGCTCCTTTCCTGTGTGTGTGTGTGTG